ATGTGACTTTTATCTCTTTCTATCAAGAAGTGAAATCTGCACCCGTTGAATATGGATTGGCTTTAAGCCTGTCTTTGGCCAATAAGGCAACAGCAAATTTGACACAAGCAAGGGTATGAAAAGTGCATGTTTTCTTGCTGCTTTTAGAACTCTGCCAACACGTGAATAAGCCCAGTCCAGCCTGTTGTACGATGAAAGACATGTGTCCCTTCCTTCCTTTCATTGCTTCAGTCAACAAGTAGTTGATCTCTAGAAGTACAGCCACCCAGTTGATGAATTGCTAACTGCAGACATGTCATCAACTAGCCTTCTTTTCTGCTAAAAGAACTTCCCAGCTGAGCTGAGTTCAAACTGCTATCCAGCAGAAACCAAAACTAAGTAAATCATTGTTGCTTTTCTAAACACTAAGTTTGGGAGTCATTTGGTATGCAGCAATTGATAATTGAAAAAGCCCTGATCTGAGATGGAAGACAAACAAGAAATATTTGTCTTCTTCAAAATGCCTTTCTCCCTCATGTTGTTTGGATAGTAACTTGGAACCTATTTTAGCATAGTCCCAACAAGAAATAAGTCTCTGCTATGGGAATGTTTACCTTATTCATTAAAAGCAGAGAAGAATATAGCTAATACATGCCAATAATAACTGGAGGAATAAAAATGAAAGTGAATCCTTAGGGTGCTGAACAAGGAAGTTGTGGAACATAAGGCTGAGTAGGGTAAAGCTGTTTGATATGGGAGCACTCTCATGTAACAGGAGACAGGAACACCCAAAACAAGCTCTCATACTTTTTTGGGATCACTGATTGAGGCTTGGAAATGATGGAAATGAAATGCATTACTATAGAGTAAATGAAATGCAAATGCTAGAACTTCTTGGAAAGGTATTCAGGAAGAGGTTAGAAATCCCAGGGCTGCAGCCATGCTAGAATGAATCTATTATATGAGGCCAGAGAATCCACCAGCTAAATATGTTCCCCAAGAAGGGCCAAAAGACATTCTCTTCACCAAAGCAATAAATAATCCACAGGTGAGAAGGACAACCGAATCACTGAAAAGTTGACTGGGGCTCTCCTTTCTGGGACAGAGTGGATAGAAAATCCCAACATGGATCTTGAGTCAACAGCTCCCTAATGCCAATGGGAATAAAATCCTTCTGGAATATCAGAGACCCAGGTAGTAACACTTAACCATCAGAAGCAATGCAAAAGAAAGTATCAAATACCAAAATGTATCATCAAGGCCAGATCCCTTATAGGGATCTATTGAAATGGCTAATGTACCATGGTCTTTCTAGGGCTGAGAGAGAAGAACCTTTACTGAATACTTACAATGCACTGAACCTCCTCCTAAATTCCTCATAAGTATTATCTCATTTAATTCTTACAATCGCCCAAAGAAAGAATCTCTGGCTCACAGAGTTTCATTAAGTTTTGCCAACACAGCAATGCTATGATGGTGCAAATGTGGTTCCAATTTGGTGTGGGGAATTTTTTGAAATGGGTAAAAAAATATCAAGGTGATCTACAGAAATGAAATGAATTAAGTTGGTGAATTCAGGAGATTATATGCAGGAGGCCACCAAATTTGTGGAAAAATGAATGAAACCAGAAGAAAGCAACAGCAGAAATCTTGCATTATTTGCCATTGCAAGAGTGGGTAAGTCAGGTACACATTCAGGGTTAGTCCAAAAGGATGACATGATCACAGTGAAACAGAAATATTCAAGAAGCAGTCTCAGCTGCCCTGGCAACAAGATGCCTTATATTTTATTTTTTCAGAATCACTAGAGGCTGAAGAAGATGCCTCTAGTGATTATTTATATAATACAAATATTTCAATATTTATATAATACAAATATTTCAATGGAAAAAGAAACATATAAAAGTGAAATAGACATTAATCAAGAAGAGAAAAACAGAAAGTCTGGAGAAGGACTTCAAGTAAGACTGCTGAAGAGATGAATGATTACAGCAGATGGTAAGACTTAGAGTTGGGTGTAGGAGAGTTAAACTTAGGAGGTTAAGTATTCAGACACTTCTTGGTGCTGTCTACTTGCTTTACACCTAAAAGACTACAGTGTCATGGCCTAAATAACAAACTCTGTAATTATGTGTTTTATTGCCTTATACATCCATTGCTGGTGGTAAGAAAACACTAAAATAGTGTTTCTAAACTCACAGCCAATATCATACTGAATGGGCAAAAACTGGAAGCATTCCCTTTGAAAACTGGCACTAGACAAGGATGTCCTCTATCACCACTCCTATTCAATATAGTATTGGAAGTTCTAGCCAGAGCAATCAGGCAAGAAAAAAATAAAGGGTATTCAATTAGGAAAACAGGAAGTCAAATTGTCTCTATTTGCAGATGACATGATTGCATATTTAGAAGACCCCATCGTCTCAGCCCAAAATCTCCTTAAGCTGATTAGCAACTTCAGCAAAGTCTCAGGACACAAAATCAATGTGCAGAAATCACAAGCATTCTTATACACCAATAACAGACAAACAGAGAGCCAAATCATGAGCGGACCCCCATTGACAATTGCTGCAAAGAGAATAAAATACCTAGGAACACAACTAACAAAGGATGTAAAGGACCTCTTCGAGGAGAACTACAAATCACTGCTCAATGAAATAAGGGAGGACACAAACAGATGGAAAAACATTCCATGCTCATGATTAGGAAGGATCAGTATCATGAAAATGGCCATATTGCCCAAAATAATTTATAGATTCAATGCTATCCCCATCAAGCTATCAATGACCTTCTTCACAGAACTGGAAAAAAACACTTTAAATTTTATATGGAACCAAAAGACAGCCCACATAGCCAAGACAACTCTAAGCAAAAAGAACAAAGCTGGAGGCATCACGCTACCTGACTTCAAACTATACTACAAGGCTACAGTAATCAAAACAGCATGGTACTGGTACCAAAACAGAGATATAGACCAATGGAACAGAACAGAGGCCTCAGAAGCAATGCCACACATCTACAACCATCTAATCTTTGACAAACCTGAGAAAAACAAGCAACGGGGAAAGGATTCCCTATTTAATAAGTGGTGTTGGGAAAACTGGCTAGCCATATGCACAAAGCAGAAACTGGACCCCTTCCAGACACCTTACACTAAAATTATCTCCAGATGGATTAAAGACTTAAACATAAGACCTAACACCATAAAAACCCTAGAAGAAAACTTAGGCAATACCATTCAAGACATAGGCATAGGCAAGGACTTCATGACTAAAACACCAAAAGCATTGGCAGCAAAAGCCAAAATAGACAAATGGGATCTAATTAAACTTCAGAGTTTCTGCACAGCAAAAGAAACAATCAATAGAGTGAACCAGCAGCCAACAGAATTGGAAAGCTACCCATCTGACAAAGGGCTAATATCCAGAACCTACAAAGATCTAAAGCAGATTTACAAGAAGAAAACAAATAAACCCATACAAGAGTGGGCAAAGGATATGAACAGACACTTTTCAAAAGAAGACATTTATAAGGCCAACAAACATATGAAAAAAAGCTCATCATCACTGGTCATTAGAGAAATGCAAATCAAAACCACATTTAGATACCATCTCACACCAGTTAGAATGGGAATCTTTAAAAAATCTGGAGAAAACAGATGCTGGAGAGAATGTGGAGAAATAGGAACACTTTTACACTGTTGGTGGGAGTGTAAATTAGTTCAACCATTGTGGAAGACAGTGTGGCGATTCTTCAAGATCTAGAATTCGAAATTCCATTTGATCTAGCAATCCCATTACTGGGTATATACCCAAAGGATTATAAATCATTCTATTATAAAGACACATGCACATGTATGTTCATTGCGGCACTGTTTACAATAGCAAAGACCTGGAACCAACCCAAATGCCCATCAGTGAAAGACTGGATAAAGAAAATGTGGCACATATATACCATGGAATACTATACAGCCATAAAAAAGGGATGGGATGAGTTCATGTCCTTTGCAGGGACATGGATCAATCTGGAAACCATCATTCTCAGCAAACTGACAAGAAAAGAAAACCAAACACCGTATGTTATCACTCATAGGCAGGTATTGAACAATGAGAACACATGGGCGCAGGGAGGGGAACATCATGCACTGGGGTCTGTTGAGGGGTGGAGGACTAGGGGCGGGACAGTGGTGGTAGAGAGGTTGGGGAAGGATATCACTGGGAGAAATGCCTGATGTAGATGACGGGGGGAAGGAGACAGCAAACCACTACAACATGTGTGTACCTATGCAACAATCCTGCAAGTTCTGCACATGTACCCCCAAACTTAAAGTACAATTTAAAAAAAATAGTGTTTCTAAACCCTAACTGCACACGAGAATGTCCTATAGTTATTTATTTTTTTTTTTTTAAGAAATAAAGATACTAGGGCTTCATGTTCAAAGAGGTGTAGAGTAAAATTTGAGTTATCAGTATTCTTCAAAAGACCCAGGTCGTGATAATCTGTAGCCATAACTAAGACACACTGACACCTAGAAGAAGAAATATAGGAAAAAAGATTTAAACAAGAGACTTCATGGAGACTGGAAAAATTGGGCAAGACGCATTTTCAGTATGGGAACTACCGAGAGATCATTTCCAATGTTGGCCTGGGCTGGCTCCATGGACCAGCATGGCCTCTATTGCAAACAGCCTATCCCTATATGATCCTTGTTCTTCCTCTTTCTTTATCCTTTCAAAAATTCACACTTTCAGATCCAATAAAATATCACTTCGTGGGTTAAAAACTGTAACTAACCAACTCTAGGAAGAATTATTTTTCTTCCCTTTGTGCTCTAGCCCTCATTATGGCAACTATCACAGTCTGACTTGAGAACCTCAAACTGATTATGTGTCTGTCTCCATTATATTAAGACAGGAACAATATTTTACTATTTTTACTATTAGCAATAGCGCATTACACAATACCTGGCACATGATGGTTATATACATACAAATACAGTATTTGTTGAATATGAATTTATCTTTTGGTACAAACACCAGCATTGAAAAGAAGGATAGAGTAGCAAGGATTTACTAGTCAGAGTGTTTTCATCTCAAAAATGTGATAACCATAGTTCCCAACTCAAAAGGTTTGCCAGGGAGGGGGGACCAAATTAGATAATACACATAACCAGCTAAATACATGGAATGAAATGAATATTAATTTATATGGTAAAACCATCACTGCCACATCTATTTTATGGTTACTTGTGTATGTGCACAACTACACGCTGCAATAGAAAGAGAGCTCCTAAAGAACAGAGGCTTCCTTATCTCAGTATCTCCCACGCCTGACACAGTGACTGGCAAAGGGTAACGATAAGTAAATGCTCACTAAATGGTATCTTTAAAAATCATTCACGTTTATCAGAACATCTACAAATAATTTTTTACTGATCTTGCCCTAGAAAGGTTGAGATCTCCCTAAAGACAGCAGAGAAATAAGTGCAAAAATTATATGCAATACAAGTCCTCCATGAAGTTATTACAGAGTTACATTAAGCAGATGCAGATTCCAATTTGAGGATAAGGGGCTGTTTTGGGAGGAATTATTCCCTAATAGCTAAGCATGGGGGTGGGAGAGAGGGATATTGTTTCCTGAGCATGTGGGCCTTCTGTGGAATAATTTCCAAATATGGACATAAGGTTAGAGTCTCTGGGAGAAAAGTGCATTCAAGCCAAAAGCTTTCTCAGTGCTGTCTTCATATCCTTGTTTCTGAAGCTGTAAATGAAGGGGTTCAGCATGGGGGTCACCACTGTGTAAAATATAGCTGCAACCCTGTCTTTACCCTCTGATTGTGAGGAAGGGGGCCACAGATAGACACCAATTGCTGCACCATAGAACAAGAAGACAACAGTGAGATGGGATCCACACGTGGAGAAGGCCTTTTGCCTGCCAGAGGCAGATGGGACCCTGAGGATGCTGGAGATGATGTTTATATATGACAAAATGATCAGGGAGAGAGGACCAGTGAGTATGATGGAGCCCACAGTGAACAGGGCTGCCTGGTTGGTGCTTGTGTCTGAGCAGGAGAGCTGTAGCAGAGGGACCACGTCACAGAAGAAGTGATGAATGGTGTTGCCTACACAGAAAGAAAGCTTTGCCATGAGCAGGGTGTGTAAGAGGGCAGCAAGGTTGGTGAGAATCCAGCATACTGTGAGAAGGAGCATGCACATAAAAGGATTCATGAGTGTGGCGTAGTGAAGAGGCTTGCAGATGGCCACATAGCGGTCATAGGCCAACACCCCCAAGAGGAAGTCATCCAGTGCCCCAAACATCATGAAAAAATGCATCTGAGCTAAACAGCCTCCATATGGTATGGTCTGACTCTGTGTCTGGATGTTCACCAACATCTTAGGGACTGTGGTGGAAGAATAGCAAGCATCAGCAAAAGAGAGATTGGCCAGGAAAAAGTACATGGGGGTGTGGAGGTGTGAGTCAAAGTTGATGGCCAAGATGATGATAAGGTTCCCTAACACAGTGACCAGGTACATCCCCAGGAAGATGCCAAATAGGAGAGGTTGCTCCTCTGGTTTCTCAGAAAGACCCAAGAGGAGGAATTCAGAGACACTGGACTGGTTACGTTTCTCCATTCCACCATTCTTTCTGAAAGAAGAGAAACATGTAAAAAACTGTAAAAATTGTGGTACTTATAGCCTTCTCTAACAGAGAAACTTCTCAACCCGGACCTTCCTTCCAAGTTCTGACCATTGTTCCCTTCAACTCAATCCTCCTAGGAAGGGAGAGTGAGGAGACAGAGGGATTCAAACACAAAAGCAAGATGATGAGTACTGCTGGACAGGTGAGTTTCAGGTCACTTCCATCCTTGCTATCTATTCATTAACATCCACATTCCCTGGCTTCCAGGTTCTCAGTTCACATAACACAAAGGAAATAAGAATTGCCATTTTGTAACATAAAGACTATACAATGAAGCATCAACTTGATTACTTGTAAATCTTATAACACACATTTCACAAATAACTTTCAAAGCTTAGTAAAATAAGTTACTTGTGAAATATTACCAAGAAGGCATTAAATACTCCCTGAGACCCTGAAGCCAAGTCCCCATACTCTTAAGCACCTTGAAACACAGCCACTTACATAAACCTCTTCCTCGGCAGAGGCAGACATAAGTAACTCACTCTGTAAGAGCACATCTTCCACTGCTCATCTCAGGATAGAATGAAAGCTGACTGGGATCTTAAAGGGAAAGCATAACCCTGCCCCTTTCTTATAGTAGTCACCGTATTTTCTCTAACCTAAACAGCTTTCACTACCATAGGAAACCACTCTGTTTCTGCAGTTCTTTTGCTCAGGGTTCTCCTTATCCTGTAACAAATGAGAAGGGTGAGAAGATCTGGGGCTGCAGCCTGCACTGGGCCAGCTATAAGGCAACCACCGGATTTCACTGATGGATCTTAGATGTTCTTTGTGCACATTGTCACAGGACTATTTCTAGGTTCTGGGCCTCTGGAGTATCATTTCCCTTGTTGCTTTTCATAGACAAATGTGAATTAATTGCTCTAGATTCACAAATTGGCTTCCTAGGCTCAGCACTCACCAAGGAGGTCGTGAGGATGGAGCTCAGAGTGTATTAGTGGTTTGCATTGGATAAGCTTGTCCACAGGGATATGTGTGTATTTCTACACACTAAGGTGTGGTGTTTGCTCTGGGTTATCTCCTGGGAAAGCTGGATACTCTGGTAGAAGAAAATCAGAATGGCAGGTGGTATACAGGAAGGTTGTTTTTTTTTTTTTTAAGTTCTGGGATACATGTGCAGGACATGCAGTCTTTTTACACAGGTAAATGTGTGCCATGGTGTTTTGCTGCACCTGTCAACCCATCACCTAGGTATTAAGCTCTGCATGCATTAGTGTAATTATCCTGAGGCTCTCCCTCCCCTCAGCCCCACGACAGCCCCAGTGTGTGTTGTTCTCCTCCTTGTGTCCATCTGTTCTCATTGATCAGCCCCATTTTTTTTTTTTTTTTTTTTTTTTTGAGAGAGTTAGTGTTTTGCTCTTTTGCCCAGGCTAGAGTGAAGTGGCATGATCTTGGCTCACTGCAACCTCTGTCTCTCAGGTTCAAGCAATTCTCTTGCCTCAGCCTCCTGAGTAACTGGGATTATAGGTGCCTGCCACCATGCCCAGCTAATTTTTGCATTTTTAGTACAGGTGGGGTTTCGCCATTTTGGCCAGGCTAGTCTCAAACTTCTGACCTCAGGTGATCCACCTGCCTTGGCCTCCCAAAATGTTAGGATTACAGGTATGAATCACTGCACCTGGCCTCAGCTCCCACTTCTAAGTGAGAACATGCGGTGTTTGGTTTTCTGTTCCTGTGTAAGTTTGCTGAGGATAATGGCTTCCAGCTCCATCCATGTCATTACAAAGGACATAATCTCGTTCCTTTTTCTGGCTTCACAGTATTCCATGGTTTACATGAATCACATTTTCTTTATCCAGTCTATTATTAATGGGCATTTGGGTTGATTCCACATCTTCGCTATTGTAAATAGTGCCACAATGAACATACATGCATATATCTTTGTAAGTGAATGATTTATATTCCTTTGGGTGTACTCCCAGTAATGATATTGCTGGATCAAATGGTATTTCTGGTTATAGGACTTTGAGGAATCACCACACTGTCTTCCACAAATAATGGTTGAACTAATTTACATTCCTGCTTTGATTCCAAACCTGGACCAAAGGTTTTCAGGCCCTGTTAGCTTCGGGTGAGCTATTCGACTTCTCTGAGTCTTTGGGTTCAAGTTCTTCCTAACATGGTGCTTAGCTTAGATTGCTGGCTCCCACTCACTAAAATAATCTGTGAGAAAGTGAGGTAAACAAAAAAAAGGAAATTACAAAAATAATATTAATGAGTGTCAAAGAAGATATAAACTGGAATGTGATGCGGATGCAGAAGGTGCAATCAAGATTTGGCACTAAGAAGAGTATTGCTTCTCTGTGAGAAGATGTATAGCAAAGCCTCTTGATGAGCTGTGCCATTTCTGGGCTTGAACCAGGGCACAGACTAAGCAGATTAACCATTTCCACCCTCAAAATGAACTTCCTAGGACTTGGGCTCTGCCAGAGTTTCACAGACTCTTAAATCCTGAGGCTCTCACGGGGACTTTTGACTGTGGATGGGTTCAGAATTCTTGTTGGAGGGACGTGAGCGGGTTATCATCTGTTCTGTTATCTTGGTGATGTCACTCTATAAAATCTGTTTTTTTCCTTCTCTTTTACCCCTTTCTTGCCTTCTTTTAGATTATTTTTTAGAATTCCATTTTACTTCACACTATGAAGAATTTGTCTTTACTACTTTGTGTTATTTTTAGTATACTCTAGAATTCACATAAGGCATACATTTTTAATTGAGATAAAATTCACATAACAAAATTTATCATTTTAACCATTTTAAAGTAAACAACTGACTGGACTTTAGGATACTCACAATGCTTTGCAACCATCTCTACTATCAATTTCAAAAATTTTTATTACCCCAAAATATATTGCATATCCACTAAGAAGTCACTCTCCATTCCCTCCTCCTCCATCCTGGAAACCACTAATCTACTTTTTGTAAACTATAACATTTGCTTATTCTGGACATTTTACATAAATGGAATCTTATAATATGTGGCCTTTTGAATCTGATTTCTTTCAGTTAGCATAATGTTTTTAAGGTTCATCCATTTTGTAGCATATATCATTACTTCATTCCTTTTTAAGGCCAAATAATATTCCAGTGTATAGAAATACCACCTTTTCTTTATTTCTCAGCTGATGGACAATTGTAGTTTTTCTACTTTTTGTCTATCATGAATAATTCTGCTATCAACTCATGTATTTGTTTTAAAATATGTTCTTAGTGTGTTGAGTGTTTTTATCCTGAAAGAATGATGGACTTTGTAAAATACCTTTTCTGCATGTATTGAGATGATCTTTTTTTATTCTGTTGGTATTGTGCATTAGAGTAATTGCATTACATAATTTCAGATGTTGAACCAACCTCTTTACTCTGTTGATTGTTTCCTTTGTTGTACAGAAACTATTTAGCTTGATGTAATCTCATTTGTCTATTTTTTGCTCTGATTGCCTATGCTTTTGAGGTCTAACTCAAAAAATCTCTGCCCAGACCAATGTCTTGAAGAGTTTTCCCAATTTTTTCTGGTAGATTCATAGTTTCAGATCTTACATTTAAGTCTTTAATCCATTTAGAGTTGATTTTTGTTTATGGTAAGAGATGGTAAGAGGTCCAATTTTATTCTTCTGCATATACATATATATATATATACAGTTTTCCCAGCACCATTTATTGAAGAAATTTTCCCAATGAATATTCTTGGCACTTTTGTCAAAAATGATTTAGTTGTAAACATGTGGATTTATTTCTGGGTTCTCGATTCTTAATCTCGGTGTTTATTTATCTCTCTGTTTTTTGCCAGTACCATGGTGTTTTGGTTACTATAGCTTTGTAGTATATTTTGAAGTCAGGTAGTGTGATGTTTCCAGCTTTGTCAGGTTGCTTTGGTTATTCAGGGTCTTTTGTGATTTCATACAAAATCTACAATTGTTTTTTTATTTCTGTGAAGAAAGTCATTGGTATTTTGATAGGGATTGCACTGAATCTGTAGATTGCTTTGTGTAATAAGAACATTTTAACAATGTTAAATATTGGTGATAGCTAGTGCCTACGGAACAAGAAAAATTGAATTTGACAGTGGACACCAAATAGACTTAGCCTAAAAATTACTCACTCCAAACCTCACTTGTTGTTCAAATTTGACTAAAAGAATTTTGATATGGACTTCTTGTCACTAGTCACTCCCTCCAATGTGTAATCAGACCAACAACCCAGGACAGGTCCATCCCAGCACCAAGGGGCAATCAAAACCTAACAGGATGACTGACCAGTGATGCTTTTGGAGAACAATCTTTATCAAAAGAAGGAAATGGCAAAGTCATCGGGATCAAAATGGTGTCACTTGTATTAACCCTGGAAAATGAAGCCAGGGAAGGCCAGAAAGGGAAGGTTCCCACACATGAATGCCTCATATAAGAATTATCACGAAAGAAAGACTGAAAAAACTACAACCCTCCACAAAGGCCACTGAAACCTCACACACACACACAGAACACTTCTGTGAGAACATCTGCCCAGCAACTATTTGTCTCACCTCAGACTGGAATTACCCTTTTTATTGATTCTTGCAGCCAAGGATAATTATCTCAAATAATCAAGTAATCCCCATTTTTCTCAGCTTTCCTTTAAAAACCTTTGTCTTTCTTTGCCATCATTTACTATGGTATGTATATTGCCATTGCAATGCCCATTCTCAAATAAATATTATTTCTTTTAAAGAGCCTCTCTCTCTGTTATTTAAGTTCAACATTCATTGAACACTAAAAGCAAGAACAGCAAAGCACACATCTCTTTCAAACATACATGGAACATTCATTAAGACAGACCACATTGAAGGATATGCTTTTATTTTTACTCATGAAATATATAACAAGAATGACTATATACTGGGTCATACAAAAGCCTAAAATTCTTCAAAGAATTGAAATAACACCAAGTGTGATATTTAAAAACAATGGAACTAAACAAGAAAAATAATAATAATCAGAAAACCACCAATTATTTGGAAATGATGCCATGCATTTCTAAGTAGTTCAAGAGTCTAATAAATAATCAATGAAAATTAGAAAATATTAAAAGTAATGGTAACAAAAGAGAGTGTTTGAAAGAAATTTCTAGCACTACATGCAATAGAAAAAAGGGGTGAAAAATCAATGGTATCTACTTCAACATTAAGTAGGTAGGTGAAAAAAGCAACTTAATCCAAAAGAAAATTTAAAAAAGTAAACAATAAAGACAAATATGAAAAGCAATGAAATGCAAGCAGTTGCACAATAGAGAAAAATTGACCAAACCAAAATTTGGTCTTTTGAAAAGATTACTAAAATTAACAAACTCTTACCAAGACTGATCAAAGAAAAAGAAGAAAACTAAAATCATAATTTTTGAATTGATAAAGAGGATATCACCAAAGATAATGAAAACATTTAAAGGATAATAAGCAAATTCAAATTTACCATAAAGTTACAGTGTGCAAGATAGTACAGTGTTTATATGAAAATAGAAAATAGATTAACTAAAGATTAAACAAAGGTTAGACATAAACCCACAGTGATATGGTTTGGCTCTGTGTCCCCACCAAATCTCATGTTGAATTGTGATCCCCAATGTTAAGGGAGGGATTGGTGAAGGTGATGGATCATGGAGGTGGATTTCCCTCTTGCTGTTCTCACAACAGTGAGTGACTTCTCACAAGATTTGGTTGTTCAAAAGTATGTAGTGCTTCCCGCTTTGTTCTCAATTCTTCTGCTCATGTGAAGATGTACCTACTTCCCCTTCACCTTCCACCATGATTGTAATTTTCCTGAGGCCTCCCCAGCCATGCTTCCTGTACAGCATACAGAACTGTGAGCCAATTAAACCTCTTTGCTTCATAAATTACCCAGTTTCAGGTGGTTCTTTATAACAAGTGAGAACGGACTAATACAGTTACCTGGTTAACTAAAAAACATTTTTTTCTAATATAAAACCTAAACATGAAAGCTGAAGTTTTGAAGCTCCTAGAAAAAAATGTTAATGTCGTCACAATCTTTAGTTAAATATATTTCATAAACAAGACACAGTTTCTTGAAATCCCCATAGAAGGAATAATGGGTAATTGGACTTCATTTAAATTGAACTTTTATGTCCACCAAAAGACAATGTTAGAAAACGAAGAATTAAGCCACAGATTGGGAGAAAATGTTCACAATATGTATAGCTGATTGATTCATATACAGTACACATGAATTAAAAATTCTTACAAATTATTAAAAGACAACCCAATAAAATGGGTATACAAATTCATAAAAAGACATACAAATAACCAATAAGCACATGAAAAGATGTCCAATATCATTAGTTACTGGGGAAATAAAAATTAAAATCACAATTAGGTAGGATGTCATACTTGGTGTTATTTCAATTCTTTGAAGATTTTTAGGCTTTTGTATGACCCAGCACATAATCATTCTTGTTGCATATTTCATGAGCAAAAATAAAAACATATCCTTCAGCGGTTGAGTGTATTGTCTCTCGTAGTAAATATTCCACATGTACTTGAAAGAAATGTGTGTTTTGCTGTTGTTGCTTTTAGTGTTCACTCACACACTCTAGGATGGCAAAAATAGCTATAAGATTTCTGTTGAGAGAATATTTTGTTTTCTGAATTATTTACCTGATGAAACTAAGGTCCAAAGAGGATAAGTGAACTTCACAAGTCACAAAGTTCATTTAGAGTTTGAGGACTGGGGCTGGCAATAAAACAGGTTTTCCCTGCAATGAATGCTTTGGAGACTGGAGTTCCCAGATGTCTCTGCTACTTTCAGCAGGGAGCTCTGGGGATTATGCCAAAAACTGCATGTAGGTAACACCTCTCTTCCGATGGTTCTAGTCAGTCTGACTGATACAGGATCCAGGGTTCTGCTCTAATTTCTCCTTCCTTGGAGCAGAAGAGGGGTCCATGTCTCAGGAGGCTCCTTTGCCTTAAACATAGGGGGAGATGAGGTCTTTTCATGTGGTTCTTAAATATAGCTTTTCTACTCTTGACAAGAGAGAACCTAAAGCAGAAGTCTGAAAGCTCTACCTTAACATGAATAAATGAGGAACTCTTCCTGGCCCAACTCAGAACTGACAGTAAGTTATGGTCACACTTAGTTTTTGGTCAATCAAGAGAGTCAGAATGGTCCATGGAAATAGTTTCAGGAACCCTGTTTTCGGTATCAGTCATAATGCTGATCTTGGATGATTTCAGCAGCCCTCTAAGATTCTGTTTTCTCATTCACTAAATAAAGGAGTTGGATTAGGTGACTTAACAAGTTTTAGTCACTAAAGTCTAGAGTGGCTAGGTAGCTTTGATCCAGAGCACTATTTTGCCAGGTTGTGATCTATATCCCTAGTCCCTGAAACCACAGTTTCCTTAAATTTCCATTTACCCCTTAGAGAGGTTTGGCATATGAATGGAAGATGTCAGGTCAGGTTTGCTAAGTTTTTAAATGTGGAAAAGCAAGCGATTTGGGGGAACATTTGTCAGCATTGGGAGGGATCACAAAGGAGCATACTCAGACCTACCAGCAGATGTGTTCATATTAAATCTGAATCTCAAGCATTAATTTTCCAAGCATTCTTTTTTAAACAAAAGAATGTTTAGTTCACATAGAAAACATAAACAAGTCATGCATTCAGTATTTTATAAATATGCAATCGATTTGCTAATTCAACCTCCAACAATACTTTTTTTTTCCTTTTCACAAACAATTTTGAATACCTTCTACGTACTAAAACTAATGCTGGGTAACCTAAGCTCTTCATTAAGGGTAGCCTGTTTTATTAACTATCTATGTAAGTAAAAAGCAATGCTGGTAGATAAATAATTACACCATACATTTTTGTCATAGCTTAAAAATCATTTTACTGCCCATCTATCTCCATTTTATTGAATAGATGGTTACTAAGTACATATGAAGAAGAAACAAGGTGAATAAAAATGAGTGCCTGGCGCTAAGGGATACGTAGTCCAATGGGAATAAGCGGCCAATTATAAAGCAATATGTCAAATATTCTACCAGAGACCCATACAAAGGACTGTGAGGGGCAAGAGCATAAAGCAATGAACTTCAACAGGAAAACATGTAAAATACTCTCAGAAGTTGACGCCTGAGCTCTTGCCTGGTGGAGAGGAGGAGGCACCCAGGAAGGGAGAACAGCAATGGCAAATCATGGAGCCAGGAAGATGAGTTGCTTGGGGACTGTGAGTGACTTCACGGGTGAGAAGGTGGCATGGCTTGGCATGAGGGAGAAGTGTCACTGCATGATAGAGGAAGACAGAATCATGAAGGACTGATTATGTCATGGTATGAAGTAGCATGAACAATTCCCTTATGGCAATAAGAGGCTATGTTACAGCAGCCTGTAACATCGACACAAGTCCCAGGTCAGGGTATTCTTTTCTCCGAGCAGTGCTAGAGACAAATTAAGGTGCAGCTTTGGGGCAAATGAAAGACTTGATGCCTTTTATTTAGATTTAAAAATATATAAATCTAACAAATATAATAAGGCCATTTTAGAACAAAGAAGTGTTTAGGAACTGAAATAGACCATCCAAAGCTTAGGTTTTTAAATCTAAGGGGCCAGAAAAGAGAAACCAAGGATTCAGTTACTCTTCTTCACAGAGAGGGAAACTATAATAGGTTTCAGAGATGTTAAATGAATTATTCAAACCCATAGTATTAGGCTTAATGCAGAGGGCTAATTAAGATTTTCTTAGTGCAAACTAAAGATATTTTTCCCTTTACATTGTTCAACCTAAATATTCTCCTCAGAAACAAATAAATGACTCTAATGCATTGTTTTTAAGAGTACAGATAGAGTGGAGTTCAGATTTTGAATAGGGGATAAGAAATGCTCCCCAGATGATTGTGAGACACACGTTCAGCTTCAACCCACTAACCAGGGTGTGACAGTGTCTATCATCATAATAAAATTACAACAAAATGACATATCTTTTCCCCAAAGTCAATTAAGTGTTATTAGTTTGCTTGCCCAGAATATCAGGAGAATTCTGAGAACATTAATTCATACTAATAAATTTTTATTTGGAGTCAATGTAATTGGGCTGCATGTTTTTATTAAATAATAAAGTTTCTTTATTCATTATTTAATAAAAACATGCAGCCTGAAATTATGTATCCCTTGGGCAAAAAAAAAAAAAGTATAAATAGGAATAAATGTTCACCGGTTTCTAATTCTTATTGTAAAGATGACATAAACAAATATGACAAAAGTTATCATTGTACATCTGCTATCTGCTTGAATTCTGAATCTGGACTTGGCTGCAATTGGTGGGGAGGAGCTAGAGATACCAGGAAGGAAGGAGTCTGGTGCTTTCAGGGTAGCTCCATCTCAGTACAAATCAAGTGTAAAAACTGGATCTTGTCCAGATATTGGATTGGACCAGAGTAGCTTAACTCACGTCAATCATGTTCACAAAAGATTGAGGCATAATCCAAAAATATCTACATCTTCATTCACTATGAGAACTGCAATTGTCAAATTGAATGGATATTTAAATTCCCTGATGATGCATTCTCTCCTTATAGAAAATATGCTTGAGGCTGAACTAGAGTCAGAAAATGATTTAGTGAATATTGAAAGGCAGTGTAGCACCGTCGTTTAGAACTTAGGCTTTTGACTTAGACGAACTTCGCTTCAGTACCTAGTACTGTGGACTTTAGCAATTGCATCATCACCCTGAACTTTGATTTCTACATTTTTAAATAAAGATATTCACAGCGCTGGTGCACAGGGCTATCATTTAAGTGAATTCAGAACCTAGCAATGGCTAGTGCTTAGCCAGTATTAGCTATGATTATTACTCCAAATTTTTTCATAGTGTCAGAACCAGGGTTGTGAATTGGATTAACTTAATGTCCAATATTATCTAATTATGAGATCCTAGTATATCCTCACTATGGCTGCTATGGGAAAAAAAGAAATTCAAGTCTCAAATCAAGGTATTCTCTAAACAGCACTACAGACAAGTTAAGGTGTGGCTTTGGGGGCAAATGAAGGATTTGACACCTTCTATTTAGATTTAAAATATATAAATCTCATAAATAAATATAATAAGGCAAAGAAGGATTCAGTAGCTGGAATAGACCATCTAAAGTTTGGGTTTTTAAATCCAAGGGGCCAGAAGAAGAGAAGCCAAACTGAGTGGAGAAACACCTGTGAGTGAGGAGCACCTGTGAGTGGGGGCACCTACCCTCTGAGTGAGGAGCACCTCCGAGTAAGAAGCATCTGTGAGTGAGGAGCATCTGTGAGTGAGAAGCACCTGTGATTGAGGTGTATCAGACCTGTTAGGGAAAGCATGTGTCATTCCCAGGTATGCTGGAGGACACTGAAGCAGTGTTCAAGGCATTTTCTGTAGCTTTTCATAGGGAAAGCCAGAATATTACTCTAAGTGACTATGATGAAAAATTCTTGCTCTGTAACTTCATTTTTTTTTTTTCTTTGCACAAAGTCAAATCATTTGATTTTTGTTCTCCTATTTACTTGCCAGGGTTGCCTTGTAGAGATGACACCCTGGTTAACTAGTCAGAATTCTGGGTCTCCCAAAATCTCCATACTGGCTTCTGGACCACCACTTAAATTAATTCAACCCCTTATATCCATCACACTTAAAAATAATCTTTTAATTTCAAAAATAATATGTGCTAGTAAAAAATTTGAGTGATACAGAAGTTGACACCCAGCACCCTTCCCCTCACACTCACTCCCTGAAGAAAACACTATCTTTTGCATGTGTTCTTCTAGACAGTATTCTTATTCATACACAAACACTTGTTTCACTTTTACTAAAATGGAACTATCTATATACACAATGTTCAGGTGTTTTACCTTTTTACTTAATTATATTATTACTAAGTGAAAAGTATTACTGTAAACAGATAGGATATGTACAATCCAAGGCACGCTTTTACATGGTGGCTTATATGTATCATAGGAATAGCTGAAACAATTTGAAGGAGACTTAGATATCAAATACTGACACCAGTTGATAACTTGACAAATGGTCTGACCCAAACTTTTTAACATGCACAATAATAAATCCAAGCTTTAACAAAACAGAATTATTTAACCACAGAATTTTTAAAACAGGAGTTCGAAGTACTTTTCAAACAGCATTATTGTACTCTTTTGCTATTTATATTATAAAAACATTTATTTCACACAGAATTTGAGACATGGACAGAAGAAACCAGACCCGCATCTATGAATTTCTTCTCATGGGCTTCTCTGAACACCTGGAGCTGCAGCCTCTCCTGTTTGCACTTTTCCTGGTCATGTACCTGGTCACTGTGATGGGGAACCTGCTCATCATCCTGGCCATTGGTTCTGACCTGCACCTCCACACCCCCATGTACCTCTTCCTGGCCAATCTGTCCTTTTCTGACATTGGCTTTGTCTCCACAATAATTCCCAAGATGCTAGATCATATTAGCTCAAGAATTAAGCTGATTTCTTATGGGGGGTGTCTGACACAACTCTATTTCTTTGGCCTATTTGCAGATCTGGACAACCTTCTCCTGGCTGTGATGGCCCTTGACCGCTATGTGGCCATCAGCTATCCCCTCCATTATGCCATGACCATGAACTCCCAGCGCTGTGTCCTGTTGGTGGTTGTGTCATGGGTGACCACTATTTTACATGCCCTAGTGCATACCCTCCTAGTGACCAGGCTTTCCTTCTGTGGTCCGAATATTATCCCTCACTTCTTCTGTGATCTGGTCCCACTCCTGAAGCTGGCCTGCTCCAGTACTTACGTCAACGATCTGGTGCTCATCCTCGTGGCAGGAACACTGCTGATTGCACCCTTTGTCTGCATCCTTGTGTCCTACTTTTACATTGCATTGGCCATCCTGAGAATTGATTCCCCAAGAGGTAAACAAAGGGCCTTCTCCAGCTGCACTTCCCACCTCTCTGTGGTCTCTCTGTTTTACGGCACAGCTATTGGTGTCTATTTATGTCCTCCATCATCCCACTCAGATGGAAAGGACAGAGTCTTCTCAGTCATGTACACGGTGGTGACTCCCATGTTGAACCTCTTCCTCTACAGCCTGAGGAACAGGGATATGAAGGGGGCACTGGGAAAACTGATTGGAATAAAAACATCCTAGCACCCTTTCTCAAGACCTTAGGCTCCTGACTCCAAGACTCAGAGCTAAGAGTTGATCAGTCTCCTGAAAGCCCAACCACTGTAGCGTCCCTGAGCCCAAGACTTCGTTGTTGCCATGTTTACATTTTGAAATAGACAGGGAGGGAACCAGTGATATTAGCCATCTGTAATCATTTTCACAAAATGTCCATGCGCTAACTAGTTCATTATCCACTCTCAGAATTGTTGTTTGTTTTTGCCAAACGCCTAAGAGAAGTCTGCATGTGGGGGATTGTATGCATATAAAATGAAAACAGAAGTCTAAATTTTTGTTTAGCTCAAGTTATAAAGAATTCCAGAAGTTATTTACAGCCCAAGAACATAGGATTCATTATGTCTGGTAGAATGAAATAAAACGGAAATATTCAGATACTTTACACTTGAACAGACAGCGTTCTATGGAAGAATAAGAAGGAGGTTTTAAGTCCTGGGTTTCAGCACTGCCTTTGCCATTAATGAACTGTGTGACAGCTGCACAATCACTTGAGGACTCTGAGCCTTGGTTTCCAAACGTGTAAAATAAAGCGATTGGACTGTGCTAGTCTAAATGCCCCCACCCCACCAACATACCCCAGTTCTAATGGTATTTCATGTTATTGTGACAAGTACTCAATACTTGAACGCCTGAGTTACAAATGAGGACCCTAAGTCCACCACTTCCACATGATGTAACCTGAGGCAACTTCCTTCACTCTGAGGTTTGATGTTCCTACCTGTAAAACAGGAAGAACAACTACACCATAGGATTACTCTACATGATAAATAACATGTGAACTCACTTGAATCACAGTAAGTGCTCAATAAATGTTTATTGAATTTAGGTCTTCAGAGCTATTATTTATCTTAATACATCTCCGAGCCTCCTTCTCTCTCTTTATTGGTGCAGCCCCCAATCACTCACACCTCCGGAGCCCTCTTCTGGTCTTCTTGTTTGTTATCAAGAATCTTCTAGGCTGGGCGTGGGGGCTCACCCCTGTAATCCCAGCACTTTGGGAGGCTGAGTCGGGTGAATCACGAGGTCAGGAAATCGAGACCAGCCTGACCAACGTGGTGAAACCCCGTCTCTACTAAAAATACAAAAATTAGCCAGGCATGGTGGCTTGTGCCTGCAGTCCCAGTTACTCAGGAGGCTGAGGCAGGAGAATTGCTTGAACCTGGGAGGTGGAGGTCACAGTCAGCCAAGATCAAGCCACTGCACTTAAGCCTGGGAGACAGAGCAAGACTCAGTCTCAACAAAAAAAAATCTTCTAGGTGATTATTTTCTCTGGCATATATTTTGGAGGTTTCTGAATGTAGAGGTGGAGAATCCTTTAAGGATAATTCTCTCGATAATTATTTAATGTCTCCATATTTGCCCCAGAGAGGTCATCATAAGTTGATTTAATGTAGGAAGAAAGTGCTAATGTTAGAGGAATGTTTCTTCACAAAGCTTGGTCTATGCCTCCAACTAAAGGAAATTCACTCAGTTAGCAACTGGCCTAGTTTTCCCCCTTACTCTACCCCAGAATATTTAATTGACTAATTTGGGCATGCTCAGCCCAAGTCCTCCCTGTTTCTTCCTGAGAACAAACCTCCTTACAAGGAGGGAGCATGTGCTCTGGTGTGTAACTTCAAGGGAAAGTCAGTTACCCACATACACCTAAGAGAGCCCCCTTAACCAGCTCTGCCTACTTCTGGAGTTGTCTAGAAAAGCCTTTGGGCTCTCACCCCAAATCATGCCCTCCAGTCTAGACACTATCAGTAGTAAAGGAACAGCTTAGCTTGCATCTCTCTTTACTCCTCTTATTTAACAATGGACTAATAATTTGAGAGAAAAAGAGGGAGTTATTTTCTGGACTTTCTCAAACACTCCAAATATTCTGAAAATCATGCTTTATAGCTTAGGAGCTGAATGATTCTAGAATAAATTATTTAACCCCTTTGAGTCTCCTTGTCTGCAAAAAGAAGTTCATGATATATTTTTAAGACTTTTTTTAGTGTTGTGCATTTTATAATCTGCGATGCAATTTATTTTTTATTTATTTTATTTATTATACTTTAAGTTCTGGGGTTCATGTGCAGATCATGCAGGATTGTCACATAGGTATATACATGCCATGATGGTTTGCTGCATCCATCCCCCCATTATCTACATTAGGTATTTCTCCTAATGTTATCCCTCCCCAATCTCCCCACCGCTGCTATTACCCCCTAGCTCCCTCACCTCCTAGCAGGCCTCAGTGTGTTACATTCCCCTCCCTGTGTCCATGTGTTCTCATTGTTCAACACCCACTTATGAGTGAGAACATGTGGTGTTTGGTTTTCTGTTCTTGTGTCAGTTTGCTGAGAATGATGGTTTCCAGATTCATCCATGTCCCTGCAAAGGACATGAACTCATCCATTTTTATGGCTGCATAGTATTCCATAGTGGATATAAAAACATCATGTTGCATACCATAAATATATATAATTTTTACTTGTCAATTTAAAAAATTAATGAAAAAGAATGATGTCATCAATATAGTAGACCAACCTTATTTTCTGTGAAATGGCCAGACATCAAAGTTCCTTCAGACTGAAACAGAGAGCATGACAGTTAACATAGTTCTGGTATTTAATGCTGCTGGTTCTGAGTACTTCTAATCCTACATTCAGACTAAAAAGAATGCTGTGGAATATTATGCAGCCATAAAAATAATGAGATCATGTCCTTTGTAAGGACATGGATGGAGTTGGAGGCCATTATCTTTAGCAAACTAACACATGAACAAAAAACCACATGCTGCATGTTCTCACTTATAAGTGGGAGCTAAATGATGAAAACACATGGACACATAGAAGTGAACACCACACACTGGGGCCTATTGAAGTGTGGAGGGTGGGAGGAATGAAAATATCAGAAAAAATAACTGTACTAGGCTTAATACCTGGGTGACAAAATAATCTGTAGAACAAATCCCCATGATATAAGTTTACCTATGTAACAAACCTGTACATCCTGCACATGTACTCCTGAACTTAAAAGTTATAAAATTTTTGAAAACTAACATCTGCCAGTTTAATAGCTGAATACCAAGAACTAGGGGCAATTATCATTTATTCTAGTAATTATGCCATATCTGGAACAGTGCTATGATTGGGAATATCATTTTCTTAAGTTTACTGTAGTCCACTATCATACACCATGATCCATGTGATTTTTTTTTTCCCATTTATTTATTTTATTACATTTTAGGTTTGGGGGTACATGTGAAGAACGTGTAAGATTGTTGCATAGGTACACACGTGGCAGTGTGATTTGCTGCCTTAAAGGGGTCACACTAGTGAATTAAACAGAGCTATAAAAGGCACTGTCATTTCAGCATCCTGTAGGACTTTGAAGATGGTGCTATTTTTTGTCATTCCACCTACAGTGTTTGTACAAGTCAGTTTTTACACTTCTATAAAGAATTTCCCTAAGACTGAGTAATTTATAAAGGAAAGAGGTTTAGTTGACTCACAGTACTGTGTGGCAGGGGGAAGCCTCAGGAAGCTTACAATCATGGTGGAAGAGGAAACAGGCACCTTCTTTACAAGGCAGCAGGGGAGAAAGGAATGAAGGAGGAACTTCCAAACACTTACAAAACCATAAGATCCCATGAGAAATCACTCACTACCATGAGAACAGCATGGGGGAATCTTCCCCCATGATCTAATCACCTTTCTACTATGACACATGAGGATTACAGGTCTCTCCCTTGACATGTCGGAATTACAATTTGAGATGAGATTTGGGTGGAGACACAGAGTCAAACCATATCAATGTTATATTGCTCCTAATTTGCTATCTTGGCTTAAAGTGGGGGAAGTTTCACACCTCTACTTTTCATTATGATTCTTACCACACAGGTCATGGAACCAGTGTCAGGTTTCTGCCAGATACTTAGAATGCCCTTATCAATACATACAACAAACAGTGCTATACCAAGAGGAAAGGATAGTGGAAGTGGTCTACCCTGGTGGGGAGGAGAGATGGGGTCCTCTGGAACCTCCTGCAGACCATCAACTGGTAGATCCTCTGATTATGTATAACAAATCTCTTCTAGCACGTCTACCTTTCTGAGACTTTTGATGCCTTTATCAATACTCTGCAAGGTAATTCTGGCATATCCTCCTCATTTCCTATAGGCCACAATCATGTCTAAGCTTTAAGTAGCCACTTCAGCCACCTGTTAGAGCCAGTTCTATGTGTGTTTGGCAGGATGTTAAATGTGAATTCATGAGTGATGCCTCATATCAATATTCCAATAGTTTCATTCATCTGTCTTATATTAAATCCTTCTGGGCCATTACCCTCAAGATCCATTCCCCATTCCCAGGCATTCTCCTAGTCCCTCCTAGTACATATTAGCCAGGTCCTGCAGCTCCTTTTGTGAATAAGTCCTTTTGCCCTTTCCTACCATGTCAGGGACAGTACTTCCCCACCCAGACTATGCTAAGACCTGATCCTAGTTATTAGTCTAAAAAGAATAAGGGGAGATGGGGGAAGATATTGAGAAATGCAAATATCATCTTGTTATCTGCCCCAGGGGAGGACTTTAAGTTGTACCTATGCAAGGGGAGAATGCTATTTTCTAGTTATCGAGAGCTGATTACTGTTTTGGCCCAGAAGTTCTGGAGGAATGAAAGATTTATGTTTCTCAAGTACATATATATAACCTCATCCTATGCCTTTTATACCAGTCTTCCCCTGTCAAGGCCCTGATGTTAACTTACAAAATTTTCTAGGGTTGTGCATCCAGGTGTCATTGTAACTCTCACCATAGGATCTAGGCCTGAAGTTCTCTATAAACAGTAACATGGAGAATTCTGGCTTTCAGACATTCCCTGGGCAAAATGGAAACTTTCGTTTTCTTCTTTCATTTGCACTCAGTAAGCCAATTAATCCTGAATCCTCAAACGACCATTTCTCCCATATCTCTCAAGTGTTGTAGAGATAGGGCA